CAGCGCGGCCTGCAACGTGCCCTCGCTCGTGTTCCCGCCGGGCACCTTTGCTAGCAGCCCGGGGTACCCGGGGCCGCGGGCGGTCCCACTGAGCCCCGGCTGGAAGCTTCTGTCCCACACCCGTGGTGAGCCCGGCCCTTCCGCAGGGCGCCATGAGCGCGATGGACTGCTCGCCGGGGAGCTCCCCTCGCTCCAGAAGGTAGTGTGGGGGCTGCCTCCCCAGTCACCCCGCGCCGGGGCTGCTACGCGGGCGCTGGGCCTGGAGCTCTTCTCTTTCTGTTCCATAGCCAGGCATATATGGGGGTTGGACTAGATGACCTCTAGGGGTCCCTTCCAACCCAAAACATTCTATGATTCTATGATTCTATAATGTAAGGCACTGCCTTGTCTGCGCTTGTACCGGCTGTGCTTCCTAATCTTGATGCCTTTCCGTATCTGCCATTCTTTAGTTCAGTAATAAAGCAGTCACCTTGTGCTTCTGTTACCTCTTTTCTTCTGTTACTATTTTCTAAGCATCTTGTTTAAGGTATCTCTGGGCACAGCTGGTGAAAAGTTCCTACCTGAAATAATTGTATTATTGCATATTTAATACTGTCCTACAGTGGCAGGAGTTGGCACATTTTCATGGATTTAGTGTGTTGGGGTTCTGATCTGAGCAGGTTTGGTGAGCTGGTCCATAAAGGGCACCACTGCCTCTGTGTCACCTGCCAGATCACTTTATGATCGAAGTTCTGGTGCTGGCTCCAGAGTCAGATTCTGGACTGTGTTTTTGTTAAGCAGATCTTTTACTAAAGAAGCTTCTTGGCTTTAATTCTATTACTCGTGGTACCATTTAAAAAAAAAGAAGTGTGTCAGATCAACATAAATAATGAAAAGAACACCTTCCAAGAGAATTTTGAACTCTGTGTGCACCTCTATTTGCAAATTTGGTGCTTGTTTGAGCAGATTAAATGTTTGAATGCAGTAAGCATTGCTAAAAAGAAAAAAACAGATAGGTAATTACACATATGTATTCCTGAATTGGTTTATGTAATATTGGTGTGCTTTCCATCCAGTACCTCAACATAAAGTTCAAGAACTTGGAAGCTTCTATGTGGATAAGAACATTAAGTACACCAGAAAGGAAAGCATGTAGATTCCTAGGCCTACACCTTAAAACTATGGTGGCTGGTGCATCACCTGACCTGAATTACTGTTATTCAACAGTCCTTTAGAAAGTGTTTTTCTCTGTGGATATCAGATAGTGATTGTGTCACAGATTGTCTTCCTGTTTATCTTACCATGGCTGCTGCTGCTTCTAATTGCACAACAATGGACTTTTTGTCACTTTTGTTCTCTCCTTTTCTTTCCTTCTCTTCCTTTCACGGTCCTCCTTCCCAAATAAACTATGAGACTTGCCTTCCATAACAACTTTCTTTCTCCCTTTTCCCTTAGTTGGCCCCATCTCCACAGTATAGTAATCCTGCAAGCTGTTCTATATCAAAGCTTTTGGTTCTCCTAAATGCTGTCATCTCCCATTAATAACTGGAGCACAGGCAAGCTACTCTGTCTTTGAAATTGAACCTGTGTTAAAATTGAAAAATCTCTTTTTAACTATTTTAGAAAATTTTTTTATTTTATTGTCTGAAGCTTGCATATCATTAGGAACTGTTTCTGTCCAGGCTGGCAACCCCGCATGTTTCATGCAGATATGCTAGTTCTCAATCTCCAAGTCAGGAGGACCTTACTCCTCTCCCTTCAATCAATGAGCGCTTGGCCTTTCTCCGTCCCTCCCGGGAGCTGCTGGAATACTACCGCAAGAAGATTGCTGACTTTGATGAGGAACACGAAGATTTGGTAAAGAGGCTGGAGAGATACAAAGAGACGTATGATGAGCAGGTTAGCAAAAGAGTTTTTGGATGTTGATGGACTACGTATCCTTACACAAACTTAATATTTTTCTTCAGTTGAAAACTCAGCAGGGGTGGTCTTAAGATCTACCAGTAATCTAGCAATAGCTAGATTTCAGGGTTTGATTGTAAAATCTGTCTGTCCTCTGTCAAAGCAAACAGAAACATGCTTGTAGGATATTCTTCTATTCTTGTTATAGTTTGGTTATATCTTCACAGTAGGTTGTTTGTTTCTGGTTTGTTTGTTTGTTTGTTTTTTTAATTAAAGTCTGAGTTTAGATGTTCAGTTCCCATGTTGTCCAGCTTCTTTCCCTTGTTTCTCATAGTGTAGAATGAGCACTCTTTTGCCCAAATTTAATGGGCTTTGAGATACAGATATAATTTGTGTTTACTGCAGTGGAATTCATAAGCTGGGCCATAGGCTATAAAGCAGTAACTACACAGCAGATAAATGCGAATTCAAAAGAAACTCCAAAACCTGAAAATCTTTGCTTTTTAAGAGGAAGAAATCTTACAGGACATCTGTAAGATATTCAGTGCTCTGATATGCTTTACAGCATAGATCTGTCTAGCAGCCACCTTCATTGTTGTGAATGACCCTTTGGGAATAGAACGATCACTTCTGAGGTGATTGAGTTGCCTCCTCAGGTACTGGCCATGAACAGCCTGAAAGCCCTCAGGGAAATATGTGGTGTACAATGTACTTTCATTCAGCATATGGGAAAAAGAGGGGCAGGTTCCAAAATAGTGCATTCTCTCCTACGGGAATGGTTTTCTGAAAGGTTTGTTAGTTTTCCATACCAGGTAGAAAATCAGTAATTAAACTTAGTAACTAGCCAGATTCTTGCTAATAAACCATAAAGATATTTTAACATTTATTCTTCAGTAATCTCTTTTAAGAGTAAGTGCTACTACAGAGGCTTTGCTAGTTTTTTGCTGATGTCAGACTCCCCATACCTATACCACTCTTACTGCCAGTGCAGAAGTGCAACCACTGGAAACTGGAGACCCTAGCTTAGGCCTTATTGGGCTGCTGTATAGTGACAATGATTCTCAGGGCTCTGAACCTCCTGTTGAAACATTTTTGTAATAGTTTTTCCAATACTGCCCTCATCTGGTAAAATTTTTGTAAGAGAAAAAAATAATTCGCTTGAACTGGCAGTTGTTCTATACCAGTTACAGGCTCAGGGCACAAGCAGTTTGAAGTTTGTAAGCATTTCCCAATGCTTTGTATCATTTCAAGTATCTCATTCTCTCTCCCAAGCACAAATTGCAATGGGAAGTACGTCAGCGAGAAGAGGAGATTGCGGAGTTGCAAAAGGCTTTGAGTGATATGCAAGTCTACCTCTTCCAAGAGAGGGAACATGTCCTTCGTCTTTACTCTGAGAATGACCGGCTGAAAATCAGGTGTGCTCTCTTCGATGGTGGGCTGGGTCACTGCTGGTGGCAATTGCATGCATTGTCTTCTAGTTCTCATCCAGATCTGGAGTCTTCAGAGAAGCAATTATGCTACACTTCCCAGGGAGGGCTCCTATGAAATTCTACCAATCTTGGAGGTGGAATGCAATCTGTTGGGCTGCTAAATATGTTTCTATTTATTATTCCTCCTATTCTGGTAGTAGAAGGAAGAGCAGAAGTTGAACATAATCCAGATTTGAATTGTGAGTTGCCAGGTTGAATGTGGAGGTTCTGATTTAAGCAGACTGTGTTATATTGACCTTGGCTGGAGACCAGGTGCCCACCAAGCTGTTCCTCAGCTGGACAGGGGGAGAAAAAATATGGGAAAAGGCTTGTGGGTTGAGTTAAGGACAGGGAGATCACTTGCCAATTACAGTCACGGGCAGAACAGAGTTGATTTGGGGAAATTAATTTATTTTCAATCACATCAGAGTAGGATAATGAGAAATAAAAACAAATCTTAAAACACCTTCCCCCCCCCCTTCCTTCTTCCTGGGCTCAACTTTACTCCTCAATCTTCTACCTCCTCTCCCTGAGCAACACAGGGGGATGGGGAATGGAGGTTGCGGTAAGTTCATCACATGCTGTTTCTGCCGCTTCCTCCTCCTTGCTCTCTTCCCCTGCTCTAGCATGGGGTCCCACCCATGGGAGACAGTCCTCCATGAACTGTTCCAGTGTGGGCCCTTTCCGTGGGGTGCAGTCCTTCAGGAGCAGACTGTTCCAGCGTGGGACCCCCATGGGGTTACAAGTCCTGACGGCAAACCTGCTCCAGTATGAGCTTCCCACAGGGTCACAGCCTCCTTCAGGCACATCCCCCTGCTCTGGGTCCTCCCTGGGCTGCAGGTGGATATCTGCTCCACCGTGGACCTCCTTGGGCTGCAGGGGGACAGCCTTCCTCACCACGGTCTGCACTGTGGGCTGCAGAGGAATCTCTACTCCAGCGCTTGGAGCACCTCCTCCCTCTCCCTCACTGACCTCTGTGTCTGCAGGGCTGTTCTCCTCACGTATTCTCACTCCTCTCTTCCAGCTGCTGTTGCGCAGCAGTTTTTTCCCCACTTCTTAAATACTTTATTCCAAGGGCACTACCACTGTTGCTGATGGGATCAGCCTTGGCCAGCAGTGGGTCCATCTTGGAGCCAGCTGGCCCTGGCTCTGTTGGACATGGGGGAAGTTTTTGGCATTTTCTCACAGAAGCTGCCCATGTAGCCTCCCTGCTGCAAAAGCCTTGCCACACAAACCCAATACACAGACCTTGCACCTGCCTGGCAAAACTTCCTCCCTCAGCCCTAAAAGCACTTAAGCTCAAATAGAAAATACAGACAAAAGCAAATAGTTTTCCCTCACGCTGAGACCATGTTGACAGCCAGTGCTTTTTAATGCCATTTAGTTGGTGAACTGGAATACAACCTGCTGTACCAGACTAGCTGCCAGTGGCAAAGGAGTTCCCAACCTTCTTCAGAATGTTTGTGGGTGATAATATCAAGTTTTCTGTTAAAGTTTTAAGAGCTTAACTCAAAATGTGTGTTGGTGTGCTTTGGCACTGCTCCAAGAGCTTGACAAAAAGTCTGATACAGCCCTCAATGTAGTTTGCTTTAAAAACAATGAACACTTACAATCTGTTGAATGAAGTATCTGAAAGCAGTTTAGGCAGTTTATAACTCTGGAATGCAGATTTTTTACCACTGTGTGCTATTGCTGTATCAGCCTATGTAGCATTGTCGTATTCGAAAAGAGGAATGCTCGCCAGTGCCAGCAGAATTGGTGGTGTTCTTACATCAGCAACATCAGTAATGTCTTTGGGAGTTTGCTCTTAAAGCAGTATTCTCAAGAACTGTAACAGTTTGGAAAACTTCTAAGCATTAACAGGTAAACTAGAAGTACACCGTGTCACAATGTTTTGATGTATTTAAAAATAGCAATGAGCTGACTGCTTTCTTTGAATTCCAGGGAGTTGGAGGATAGAAAAAAAATTCAACATCTCCTGGCTTTAGTTGGAACAGACAAAGGAGAAGTTACGTATTTTCACAGGGAGCCTCCACATAAGGCAAGTTCCATTTTTCTGTAGAATTCTGCTTTTGATTGTAACATGAAGATCTGTACCCCAGAGGCTGACCACAGACCAGATCTGTCCCACAAATCAAAAGTTGCTAAGTGAGCCCAAAGCAGGAAGCATCTGTAGTTCTGTAGCAACATCAGGTTTTAGTATAGCTGCTGACAGGTAAGTAGGAACAAGTGTGCTGGAAGTAGGTCCTCTTAGCATCAGTCCCTTTCTACCTTCAAAATGTACCTCCATATTGGCCTCCTAAATGTAAGATAGGAGACTGAAGCCATTTGGCAAATGGTCATTGAGAAGTTGGAGAGAATACCACAAAGACAAAAAGAAAAAAAGGAAGTGCAGAAAATTACCAGATGTGGCATTTGAATATCAGCTATCTCAGGGTGCCTGTCTTGCAGGGCCTCAGTAAAGAATAAAGCAAGTGTTCAGGTTGCTGCAGCAGTTTCCTGGGCAGGAGAATGCAGAAGAGCCATGCCTTCTAGGCAATACTGTATCGCATATTTCGGAAATAATGTCAAATTGATTAAATGGCAGTGCATGTGACGTGCAGTGTAGTTGAACCTACTTAAAGCCATGAATCACGAATGATTTGGACATAGAGAGACTGATGGAATATAGAATTTATCTTGGAATAAGGTGCAGAAAAAGGCTGAAATATGCTGTATTGTTTGTGGTTGCTCTGCACTGCTCAAGCAGTTGAAAAATCTTGCAGAAGCTTTAAAATTCCCTGATAAAGGGTAGCTCTAAAATTAGGCCTGTTATATAGCATCGACCTCAAGATAAGCATTGGGCTTATAACCTGCTCCCTCATGGCCTCCTCTTTTTGTTAAGTAGGTTTCAGCTTAACAGTTGAGTTGTTTCAGTACTTTTATCGGTTGAGTGAATGTGCTGATAAGCTTCATGTTTCTCTGTCTTGCTAAGGCAAGGAGGAGTATGAAAGAAGGAAATAACATAATCTTCATCTTCACCTTCCTGTTCTCCTCTCTGTCCCCAAAATGCTCCTTTTCCTGCTGAGGGTGCTGATTTTCATCCTAATGAAGCCAGCAAAGGCAGGATTACTTTCCAGTTGTTTCGGTGAAAAAAAAAGAGGCAAAAATGGCAAACATCAGCCATGATAAGGGAAACTTTTCAACATGGACATCACACTTGTGAATGTCTTCCTTGTCTTGTGGTAGAAGTAAGGTAATGCTATTCTTTTGGATACCTCATTTTACTCTTTAAGATTTGTTCTTGGCCGTTGCAACTTTGGAGAAGTCAGGTGTACAGTGCAGATATCTAATCTTGTTTCTATAGGTTACTGTTCTGCAAAGGCCAGCTAAATCCAGCGAGTCACGTGAACGAAATGATGCTTCTAGAACAGGTACTGCACCAGTCTGATTAACAGCAGATCAACTGTTAATATTTGTTTCTCTGTGTGTTTCTGTCCAGTACACCAAAATAATTCCTTACTGTGAATACTTCGGTATACCTCCATTAAGTTCCCTAAATGTATCCATGTGTACATACATATACATGCAGTACTCTTGGCTCCCCTTCAAAATCTTTTAAAATAACCTGAGCTGGCTCTCATGTCTGTGATCTGCTCAGATAAGCAAGAGGCTGGTATGACCATGGAATGGCTGTTCTGGAGCCATGCAGGTACCAGCTGGACAGGCACCCTTAGCTGTAGCCATTACCAGGTGTGAGGTTCTGCCTGCCTTTAGTGCAGACAGTAGTGTGGGTCTGTATGCCTACTTACTGATTTTCTCTTCTGAAAGAACTGCCTCTTCCAAATTGACTGATATTAGCTAACAAGTGCGAAACTCATTTGAGGCTTGATGCTTGTGCAGCTGTGTCATCTGCCTTCATCATTCATTTAAGAAAATTTAAGTTTGCCTTCTACATATGCCAAGAAAATTAGTAGGTTGCCTGAATATTGTGGTATGAGCGTGTAGGATAAAGGTATGCGATCACTGTAAGTTCTGAAACTCTCTTCTTCCGGCTAGCCCTCCCAGAAGTCCTTGTCACTGTAGCAGTGGCGAGCTTTTTCCTGTTCTTGTAGGCCTGCCAGAACATACAATATTTCATGTTTGGAAAGGTACTGCAGGTAGATTGGAAAACCCTTTTCTACTTCTGTTAAATTTCTGCAATAGGCATGAAGAGGAGCACTTCAAAACCATCAGCAAAAGGAGAGAAACCAGAAAGTCCTCAGAGATACCAGAGAGATAATCAAACACTTCTACTTCAGGTAAAAACATTTGTTAATCAATGGGCATAATTCCTCACTGTCTAGGAGATTACGGTAGACAAACATTGTCTGCTTAGATAAGATGTAGACATACTGATTTTATTAGTCCCCACATCTTACTGTGGATTCCCAATTTTTATCAGTTTACTTAGCTGTTTCTTTGCAATGAATGCAGGCTTAGATTTAAGAACTTGGGTCTGATTCTGGAAGCTTTATGTAAGCAGATGTTCCAGTAATGTTAACTGGAATGTGTTGCCCTTAAATATAGAACGTGTAATTGATGTTATCTCCCATAATTTGATTGTGGCTATGAACTTGCATTAAACCGACAGAAGATCTGCAGGGTTGGGTATTTTGTGGAAGTCTGACAAAGCAAAGTGTGTGAGATGGAATTAGGCAGCCCCAATAAGATGCACTAATACAATGAAATGTTCCCTTTGCTAGACTTCAGTGAAAGATAGGGTGTAGATAGCATGGCAGAATGAAAGAGAAACTGTACAGAATCGTGAATTGGGGTAGATACCAGAAGCTGTATGTAAAGCATGAGGAAGGATGAGTCAAGAAAAGCAAATTAAAGACCAAACTTATACAGGAGACTTTTTTTTTGCTGTTGTTGTTCAAGGGCAGTGCTGACTTAACTAATGGCCAGTTAGCTGTCTTAACAATGTTTAATCTGGAGCAAAAGCATCATGCAAACTTGTTACGAAAATAAGCGATCTATACATGCCAAGTTTTTTCAGATAGTTTCTTACAATTAGGTCAGATGCACATTTTTCAGTTACTTGTTCCAATTTGTCTCCCTGACTGTGCCCTAGATCAAAATCCTTTGCATCCCTCTTCTTCACTCATTATCTTGTTTATATTTAGTAGTTCATTCTGGTTGAGTACTTTCTTTTGTTCAAGATATGTGGACTTGGTGCCTTCCCAGAATTTAGGTATCTTTATATCGACATTTCATTGGAAGATGGTAGCAAAGGGACGGAAGTATCTCTGCATGTTCCACAGGACTTGTCATGTCCTGTGTGCAATTTAAATCTTTCCAATATCTTTGATCTATTGTTGCTGCCTATACTATGCCTGTCTTGCCTATAGCATGATTTTATTTTTCTTACAATGCTTTAGTTGTTTGAAATACTTAGCATTAAAATAAAAATTTGAGAAATTAGAACTCTCAAAGATACTATCAGGTAGAGTCTTTGATCTGAATCTTGGAATTTAAGAAAGACTAGCAAAGACTGGAGCACAGCTGCTGTGAGGTCTTATTCAGTAATTTCTGTCGTTGCTTATTCAGGTGGAGGCCCTGCAAGCTCAGATAGAAGAACAGACACGATTATCCAAGGAACAAGTTGAGGCACTACTAGAGGACAGGCGGATTCACATGGAGGAAGCCCAGGTCCAGCATCAGAGGGACCAGGACAAGATCAAAACTATAACAGATAAGTGAGTGTGAGAGAATGACCGTGATGTAGTCATGAGATGAGAAGAGAGGGTAACAACAGAAATATTTTGGCTTTCAGTATGTTGCTTCCTGCAGCCGGCAGAAAAGCAAATTATGCAGCCATCTGTTTGGCAGTGTGTGTGGAAGAAGATGAATGGAGTAATCTACATATTAAAAATCCTGTTTCACATTGGAAGAATATCACTTCTTTCATTAGATGAGAAGAGCTAAATTTGTTAGGAAAGTACCTATCTTTTTCTTCCATGCTTCTTCCAACTTGCAGTGATGACTGAGGAAATTAAGGTAGGAACTAGGAAAGAAGTTAATTAACTCCACTGGGATCCCTTTCCACAGACTCCATAAGACCCAAAATCTCTTATATGAGAGTACCCATGACTTTCTCCAGCTCAAGTTTGATGCCCGAGCCAATGAGAAAGCATGGATGGCAGAGAAGGACAGTCTGCTGAGGAAACTTGACAAAGACCCAGATCAGCTTATTGTCAGCAGGGAGCCAGGAAGAGAGAAGAAGCAGAGAGGTACCAAGAAGATGCTTCGAACAGATGATGGAGCTTGGAAACTCCAGAGCAGAGAAATAAAGGTAATTCTTTTGCCCTAGGTAGAGGCTTTTTAATAGTTTTTGACTAGAAAATTGCAAGCATCTGGGTTTTGACAAGATAGGCAGTAGCTAGCAGCTCTTTCAAAGCTGTACTGGCTTGCTTTAAGTGACGTTGTTGTTGGCACTAATGTTAAAAAAAAAAACAAAACACCAAACCAAACAGCTTCCCTGTCTCAAAATCAGTGTTGCTTGCAAATTTCAGATAAAATTCATAGTTGGGATTTATGGTAGCGCTGCACTGTCAGTTTCTTTTATGCCCAGAACAAATCCCTACTTCTGCAAGTCATGTGGTATGTGGGCCAATGGTTCTTAACCTGCACATGCCTGCCTTTTTGTGCAAATGCTCTCAGCTAATGGGCTTAGAATGTAGCACCTATATCTTCCTTGTTGCTGTCAGGGGAGAGTAAGTCCTTTTGACTGATGTCCCCCAGCTCTTCCACAGTAGCCAGGACTTTTCTTCCACTTCTAGTATACTTCCAGTGAGAAGCTGGGAGATCTGAAGTGGATAAAGAGGCAATAACCAATTGGAAAGTAAACAAGCAATATGGAATTGTTTTCACCTACCACCGAAGGCAGATGCTTCTGAAATGCAGTACTGGGCAAGCAGCTGTGAAAAGGGGAATTACAGCATTAGTTGAATATTATTTTTAAGGGGAAGGGGAGAGAGTTCTTTAACTGATGATGAGCTGTCATGCAGCACTGATAACCTAATTAAAAGGTTTTGGTAATGGAAGTGGTGCTAGAATATTGTCCTTACCTAGTTATTTCATTAGCTGTAGCTCCAGCTGTTAATTTTTATTTGCCTGGTATATTGTCCATCTATCACACTTGCTTCTCCAGAGCAAGGGAAACTTTGTGAGCACTGGCTTTTGAGTTGATTCTTTCTGTTTCTCTTATGTTGTAGTCACTGCAAGAACAGCTGCTGCAGGAACAGCGCCTATCAAACATGTATAGAGAGCAGTGTGTCACCCTGGAAAGTGAGCTGGCTAGGATTCGTGAGGAGGGAGATGCTGGCAGAGAACTCTTTAAGGTAATTAGTCTGTGATCATCTGCTAGCTATGTGATGATCTTGCAGCCTTTATTTTGTATACCCTATCGAGTTTTCATCTCCATAGGAACGCTCAGAAAAGATGGGGAAACGCCTGAAGCTGATGACTCGGCGATATGATGCCCTGGAAAAACGTCGTAATATGGAGGTGGAAGGCTTCAAGAACGACATTAAACAGCTTCAGCAGAAGCTGAAAGATGTAGAGAAGCAGCTTTTTAAGGTAATATCTAAGCATTTCCAAGGCAGACTGTTATGGCTTACCCTACAGAGGTGTATTCTCAGTATTTAAATGCAATATTCCCTAGAGTTAAGGAAATAATTTCTTTCCTAAGTGCTCCTTTAGATATTAATATTTGATTAATATTAATACTTGCCCTCTTACATATTTTATGCAGCAAAAAAGATTTGTCTTTGTTAATCAGTCAGGGAGCAAGCTTGCCAGGAACTGTCCTGATTATACATTTGCTGTGTATTTTTGTTGCAACTCTGAAATTCAGTTATTAACTGATAACTGTAGCTTGCTTAGCTGTCTCAAAATTGCAAGGCAGTAAAGTAGCTTGTTTCAGAAATATATCCTGCAAAGAAAATGATGATTCTTCTTCTTTCTGGGGAACATAGTGTTTGGTTTTGTTCCAGTAGGACGTAGATCACTGACTTAAGTATTGTGAATATTCTATTTATTCCTTTGTTAATATCTCATTTGTAACGCCACAAAAATTGCTGCAGAAACAATGGCTGGAAGTTGAAGCTGTGGACTCTGTAGTAGCTTCCAGCTGTGTAGGTGAACATTAGAACAGCTTAGAAGGGAAGCCATAGCCTTGATGTTGTGTGGAGTTTAGGATGAGATATTTATCTAAGATATGCTTCAGAGGATGATCCAGGCATAGCTTCTGTCCAACTGATTCACTTTTTTTTTCCTGTACTTTTGGTACACAGTTCAGTTTACTTAGTCTAACGCATTTGTCTTTGCGAAGGGCTTTGATTTTTTTTTTTAAATTTTTTTGTTGGGCTGTGGGTTTTTAAACTTTTTATTCTTTAAGGACTAAACAGCATATGTGAATAGGGAAAAATTGCCTATAATACCTTTACTACAGACATGTATGTTTTATAACTGTGGGTGTGCTCTTAATTGTATTCTTAATTTCTTTACACTTTTAACCACAAGAGGGCAGAGGAACAAAATACTTGCCAGAATTCTTCAGTGTGATCTTTAAATCCTTCTTATTGCTTGAGGTCAAAAGTATCAGAAGATGACTAGATTTCCTGATTTGCATATTAAAATCTTTGATCAAGAACTACATGTTGACAATGAGACAGCCTAAAGGGTCAAGAGAAAAGGGGGCTTTGACAGCAGCTTCCAAGGCTGTGCTGCTCTGCTGTTGAAAGTGACTGGGCTGGCATGCTGTCCAGTTCCAGGGTGACAGGAAATGGCAGCCCTGGCTAGCTTGCCATCAGGAATTCTGATTATCCAGCACCCTCAGTGTGGGCCATATGGCATGGCCTGAGACTAGGTGTTGTATTCAAACTGCTCTTGAATTGTATCCAGTTCAGAAGGCAGCAGGCTGGCCACAGCAGTTAAACCACCTCTAGTTCTAGTAGTAAAAGATGACAAAACGTCATCATATCAGGTGAGGTTCTTAGAACTAGATAACAGTTAGTTGATAAATATTTTAACTAGCCTTTTTTTTATGGGTCTCTAAATAATACAGGAATTAGAAAGTAGTCAACAGGTTATGGGTCAACTTGATTATATTCTATCCAGACTTCTTCCTCATCCGTAATATAACACCATAACATATGAAAGCTTTGTTATTTGTTTTTGGTTCTGGAGCACCCTTCTATTGGTGATATGCATTAGCCTAGTGATATTAGCTTAAGCATCCTCTTTGCTAGCTACAAAGGGTCCTCTTCAGAGTTCTCTCCCTCATATCCTTATCATAAACTCTGTTTTACAGATTTTAGTATTCTGGACAGCTTTTTTTCTTAATCTGTTTTTCTTTTCCTTTTTAGGTGACTCTGAATATTGGACCAGACCAGGATCTTGCAATTCTGCAGGAGGTCTGCCAAGGGAACAGACTAACCCGTAAAATTCAAGGAGAACTAAAAAACTTAAAAGCAAAAATCTATGGCTTAGAGAATGAGCTACGGGTCTGCTGAAGCTGAGGTATTAGCTGGCATCCTAGTTTTAGGAATGGGACATTGCTAGGCTGGAATATTCATATGCGAGAGCAGCTCCTGCCTGTCGGTTTCCTGGCATTCAGTGACAGAAGGCCTGAGGAAATCTGCAGTTAATGTTGTAAATGTTGTACATGAGTCATTCCTATGTGCCAGGTTGTATTGCTGTTTCAGCTGAGAGATAGCACCTGATAAGACTGACACAGAAAGTACATGATGACTGATATATCAGGAATATGCTTATGACTTCATCTTACCTTCCTCATGTCTGTGGTGTAGGGGCCAGTGCATACTGGCCTTCACCTTTATTTGGAGTGTATTATAAACCATATATATGGTTATAATGAAATTAATAATCACAGAAAGATGTAGTTCAAGATCTGAATTGCTTGACTGAACTTTTCCTATGTGAGAAGCAGCTTTTAAAATGGTTTAAATGATTATTGTTTTGGTGATTAGCCACTTAAGGATCTAACTGGAAATTTTCTTTGAAAAAGACCACATACAGAAGGCGCGCGTACTAAAGTGTATTACATCTGACTCTCCCTTTGACAGTATAACTATTTTAGAACCAAGCGAAGGGAAGACATTTTAACCTAATTGGGACAAACCTGACTGATTTTAATATGGTGGGAAAAGATAACCTGTTACAGAGCTCATCTGCAAGACCTAGCAACATCTGTACTTCTTCTGAATGTTTGGGGGGAGGGAAATACTACACTATTGAGCGTCATCTTCTCATCCCCTTCCTCCCAGTTTACCTTAACACACAGAGGAAGCCCAAAATAAAAAGCATCTAGTATCTTCCTTAACCACCATATTATCTGTCTTCGTGGCTTTAAACGGTATCATGGTTATGTACCAACAAATCATGGTCAACTACAGCAGTTGTTGCTACTGAACTGTAACTGAAATCGGCGTGGAAGAGCAGCTGCCTAGTTGCTACGTGATAAATATAACTCGAGCTATATGATGATTATCTTCATACCAGACATCAGGACATTGCAATTCCAGGAAATGGATGAAATCATGAAAAGGGTTACAACATGGCTTCAGCCTAGTTTATAATTGCAGGTATTCGTGCTTTTACTGTAGCATCAGCAAATCTTGTCCACCTTGTAAACTGAGAGCAGATCCGTGTTGGAAAGGGGATTTCAGTGCCTCTGTTTCCTGCTGTACCTTTCCTACCTTGTTAAATGTTACAGAAACAGAATAATATCTTTCTGATGTATACACCTATAGTCTACCAGCACTTCCTTTCCCTTTGAAAACAGCTTAGTGTGTGAAAGCAGGCAGCTTCTTTTGGACGTGGTAGTGGCCATGGAGATCCTCATTCAGTGTTTGGGAGAGGTAGATATGCAAGAGATGCTTTTGTGCTGTCAAGATTCAGAGAAATAATTGTTTTGATAGCACCAGCTAAAGCAATGCATGAGGGGAAATTCCCTGAAGTAGTCAAAGCCTGTTTCAGTTGTTTATCCTTTTTGTGACAAGCTTGCTGTCCCTTATGGTCCTGTACTGTGGCTTTTACTTTGCGTGTGTTCTTGAGGTCAAATTCATCACAGACAGACTTTAGTGTGGGTGGCTGACAGTCTGTGCTTAGATGCTCAACTGCTGCTACAACTTACAAGAGGCTGTTTCAAAGTCTGTTGCACTGATTAGTTAGCTGAAAATACTGAACTGTTCAGAAACTGATTCATGAATAACTTGGGTGTGCCGGTGCTACATGGACAGCTGAGGAAGGGCATTAAATAATGCTATCCATCATTTAATCTCGCTCTTTCTCAGTTAACTAGTACTTTCTCAGATAAATCTAGCTAATTAAAGTGCATTTGTATGTGAAATCACATGCTACGGGTTTGAAGATAAGATATCAAAGTTATCACAGGTCCTGGAAGGCTGCTTCTGAAAATTGCTATGTAATGAAGTATTAGCCAGTTATTAAAAAGGATCTATCTACTTAAATTCCACTGATGGGATGCTAGCAAAAAGGTCTCTTGAACCTATA